TGGATTATGTGTATACACATAACTATGAATAAGTATAAAGAAGAAAGATACTTATGACAGATTAGGAGTTTAAAGCAGAAGGTGAAGACAATTTCCTTTTGAGGGTAGCAAGGTGGTAGATAGGGTGTAGGGTAGGGCCAGCTGTCGGGATAAGAAAGGTCTTAACAGCTGGGCCTTGAAAGTGAATAGAATTTGCATCTGGATGGGTTTTACATAAAACAGGACTACAAAATATGAGCATCCTAAATGTAAAAGAGATGAAATGTTCCTTCCAATCAAATAATATATCCTTGATAATATTAACAAGTGAGCTGAACTGAAGAAACCAAAATAACACATTCTATTTGAAAATCTACATAATGAGGTCATCACTCTTCTTTACTTGTTTTCCGTCCAGTTGCTGAGCTTCAACTCCTATGTCACCAATTCTAAAGTTTGTATTGGTAAAAGGACAATCTTCAAATGCAAGGTATGATTTTTGTCCACAGTACAAAATCAATTAAAAACCCTCTGAAAAACTGCCATTTTCTTAAAATGATTAGCATATATTTCTATAGCTGGATTTTTAAAGTACAGTTTTATTCAATATGTTATATGTGAAATCCCCAAAGAAATAAAATTCTGAGGTCAGCTTGGACACTTACACACATTGATACTGCGCATTCAGGAACCACATGCAAGAGGATAATCAGAAAAGGAAATCTCTGACAATACAATTTTGGAAACAAAAAAGTGAAATAAAAACTAAGGCATTACCATAGCGAAGAAGATACAAAAATTTGTAAGATGAAAATTGAAAATTCAAGAAATCTTTTTCTTTGGCCTTCATACTTACACAACCAGGTATAGCTTGTAACAGCTATCTGTGTATGATTACAAAGAATGAGATATGATTTCTAGGCTTTTTAAAAAAAAATACTTTTCTATACACAGAAGCATGTAGATAATTCTGGATCAATAATCATATTCATCACAGTAGGTACTCACTATAATAGCTGTACTCTTCTTCAGGTCACATGACTACATTTATAAGAGAACCATTCTGATGCACAAAATAATGACTGGGAAATCTTTTCTTGTCCGAGAAAATGATGTGCAACAAGTGTGCTACCGGCAGAAAGGAATTACAGAAAGCCAAAGAACACAGTGAGCAATATTACTTCAAAAGAGATGAGAACAAATTGAAAAATAAGTGCTATCTTTTTTAAAAAAACAGATTCTATTTATTTATTTATTTAAGAGAGAAAGAGAGAGGAGGGGCAGAGGAAGAAGGAGAGAGAATCCCGAGCAGACTCCACACTGAGCGCGGAGCTCAACATGGGGCTCAATCTCACAACCCTGAGATCATGACCTGAGCCGAAACCAAGAGTTGGATGCTTACTAACCAACTGAGCCACCCAGGCACCCTGAAAAGTAAATGCTATTTTAAATCACTTTCCTTTAGGCCCCTTGGCTCTGTAAGATTCTCTTCCAATCATCATAACAGAAGAGTCTGTTAGTTCATTCTACCCAAGTTGATGACAACCCTTCCCTCTATAATGGCCGTGACATGAGACATATATGATCTTTCTGCCAAGAAAATATCCATCACCCCCTAAACCCCTACCCCCACTGAAACTCTGACATTGAAGACATATTCATCAACAAGTCATGATTCTCTTATTGTCAACCAATTTTTAATATCCAGAAGAGGAGAGTTAGAGGCTCTTTGTTTTTTGACCTTCCCCACGTAATATGAAGAGTGAGATTCTTACACCAAAAATATCAGATATAACTTCAAATGTCTCCAGTCCTAATTAGAGAGCGTTTTGGTGCCTCGATATTTCCACATTACATTAGTATCTGGCAATCTGCCTGCGTATTCAGAACCTCAGACAGTGGGTCGACCAGGGAGTGGGCCTTATGCACATCCACATTTCATTTAATGGCTGGAAAGCAGAAGCTTCCCAGAGCTTTTTGCCAATTGACAGGTGGTGGGAAAGTGCAAATCTTAGTGCTTACAATGAGATGGAGAAAGCTCCTAGGCATGGAGAAGTAAATATACCCACACAGAGAAAAAGGCCTGCCAGAAATACCACAGGGTGCTAATGGTAGGCAAAGTCAGGAAAGAACATGAAGCCAGCTCCTTGATAACAGCTGATGCTAAACTGTGAATCACAAGCAACCCCAAAATAAAGCAGAGAGAGGCCATCAGAGATTGATTCATGAAAACCACATGCAAAAAGAGAAAAATGGAAGGCAAAGCCACATGTGGTTATAAAGCTCCTGATTGCATTTTAAAGTACTTTTTCCTAGTTTAGAAGAAATAAATTAAACCATAAAAAAACCCTGAAAGTGAGAATTTCACTGTCACTGGACATTCAGAGTAAGTAACAATGAACCAACAATTATTTATTAAGTAAGTACAATGCATGAGGCACCAAGCTGGGGACACTGGAAGTTGTGAATAAGCTCATAAACTCAAAGAGCTTGTGTTGTGCATCTTATGAAGATAATCCTAAACACTGCATTTTTGTTTATGAAGTGAAAAAAAATACAACCGTACATACTATCAAACTTAAGCAAAAGGAGACAAGACTGTTCAATGTAAAGAAAAAGAAAATTTTATCATGGAGGACCTTGAAAGGTAGGTCTAATCTGGGCAGGCAGGAAGTAGAGAAATCCTAGGGAGTATAAGATTTGTGGGCCTTTCATATGTTTATTTACAGGTTATATGCACACATGCTGCTATATTAATATAGTATATACATTATAAGGCATAATATAGAAATTCTAAAGAATTAAAGATAAAAATATTTTATTTATTTAATGGCAAATGATTTTTGCTATCACTAGAAATTATTAATAATACTAATAAAATAATGTGATTTAATATACTTTATAATTTCCAAACATCTCAATTTAATCCTTTGTGATTGAGCAATTTGTTTTAATACTTGGTTTTAATGGCTGTCAAAGATACCTCATGAAGATATGTGGACCTAAGTGGGAAAAGGGCCTCATGATACTGAGTACCTTGATTTATAATTCCATCCTCCAATAAGGAAAAGGTTCAGGGGTATTTTAAGGGTTTTTAAAAATTATTATTTTATTGTTATTGCTAACTGAAATTCAGCTAGTATATGTCTATCTATCCTGATATTAGTTGCTCTTGAAAGCTTATTAAAGTTATTTTATTATTTAAATATATAATTATTTATATATTATTATTTAATTATCTTATTAAAGAATTTTTATATCTTTAGGAATTGTGTTCTAAAACCACTGAAACCTTATTAGATTTTTTTCCACTGGGTTAGGACATTCCACTTTCAACTTATTGAACATGCAGATGTGAAGGGTTTTAATAAGTGTCATATATCACTTTTTAAAATAGAATCACATTTCCAAACATTCATTTTCAAAAATGCTCTCCTGGAAGCACAGATTTCTTTTGAGAAGTAGTTTCTCACACATTCTTAAAACACTGCTTCTATAGGGAAGGGCTGTAGTTAAGTGTATTTTTCAAAAATACACTTGAACTATGAGGTTACACCTACTGAAACTGTTTAACACATAAAGGTCAGCAAACATGGACACTTGTCTTTTGTTAAAAGAAAAATGCAGTAACAATTCTCTATTCTTTCCTTCCATGAGGAAGAAATACATTGACGCTCATTACTCATCTCATCACCAAGTGTATACAAAGATGCTACCATATTTCAAAGGTCTTGCTGTTCTAGAATCAACTAAGTAACAGCATCCTATGGCATTCTGTCTACTTCTGGCTTTAACTCCTTTGCTCTTCTTCAACAGCGCACTCGATAACTTGCTTATAAATGTTGCAGGAAAAGAACTTCATAAAAGTCATTGTCAGTGACAGAGCAAATCCTTATTTCAAATAACCTGCTTTATAATTTCTATGGAGCAGGGATGGCTTCCGGTCAGATTTCATGAAGTTATTTTTATCCCAATGGGAACATCTTCCCTACATTCCTAGTATCCACTCTCTCCTTCCTCTCTATCAGAAACTCAGAGGACACATGACTACCCAGAGCAAAGAGGACATTTTCCAGTCTCTTCCCCCTTACAGCTACCCAGCACCTTAAAACTAAGTTTGGATCACTAGGATGTAAGTAGAAACAATGAATAGCCTTAAGAGGAAGGGAATCTCTTCTGCTCCCTTTCCTCTGACCTAGATGGAATCCAGATGTGATCGCTGAAATCTAAGCAGCCACCTTGCAGCAAGAGGGAGACGCCTGGTGTTGAGGCAGCCAGAACAGAAAGAGGAAAGGAATCTGGGTCCTTCATGACCATGTTGCCCTCAAGTCAGCCCCAGACTGCCTGTGTTCATGTGGGAGAAATACAGTGCTGTCATTTTTGAGTTTTGTGATTCTGGGTTTTCTGGTTCTTATCGCAATAGGGACCACTAATGGATACACCTGGGAACAGCTGAGGAAGAGCTCACACAAAGATTCAGAGAAGACTCAGCTCTGCTGTCTTATCATGTCAGCACGTGCTTGCGCCATTCATATGACCTTCACTCTGCAGCTTCCTAACAGAAACTACGTTTAAGCCACTTGCCCATATTGTCAGGAGTCATCTAATAATGCACATAATATAACCATTATGTCTCCTCTATCAGGGATGCATGAACTGCAACATTTATCAACAACTCTGAAAGCAAATGAACGAGGGGGCCACCATCAAGCAACCTCCACTCTTCTCTTCAGACAACTCAAGACCCATGTGTAACCTGTGTCTGATGAAACATTAATAAAGCTTCATTTTTTTTTTCTTGGTCAATATATACGTACACAAAGAAGTTCTACTTTTCCCCCTGCTCCTCTCCCACCCTTACCAACAAATATCTATACACACCTCCCTGGTGTGCAAGCACTCCACTATCAAGGGTACAGATGGAAAAATCTGCATACATAAGTGTTCTCCATAAGCTGAAAACTTGTAAAAGCAAATGGTAAATCGAGGGGTGGGTGTATATAAAGATTTTGGTGCCTTACCTGAATACGTCCAGAACAGTCCTTTCTGATAACTTGGGAGCCACCTGCCTAAATGCTTTCTTGAAATCTTCCAAAGTTAAATACCCACGATCTATTTGACATGAAAATATAAAACATTCACTTACTTCTGTAAACCCTATGAACTGCTATCTCAGCCATATTTGTGTGAAACTTTTACTTGAAGAAAAGCAGTAAATATAAGGTAATCTGAGATTGTCTCATCAGAAGAATTTAAGAATCAACCACCACTCTCCTTCAGTGCAGGCCCAGATGATCTCACAGGTCATTAGCTGATTCTCTGAGTGCCAGGGAATGGCCTGCAGACACACACTGCCATAATGGCATTAGGCTTCAAGTCTATGTGAATTGCCAAAACAATTTATTCTTCAAAATTCACTTTTTTTCTTGCTTGGCATTAGAATTATAATATATGAATATTTAGAGGGAAAACATCACAGCAGCAAAGATGCTGACCCTGGACTCCATGAGTCTTTCCATCCTGTGTGTGATCTATGCAGCACAGGGAGTTCAAAGCCACTTCTCTCGGCTATATCCAGTGTGAGAAAGTGTGGGTCAAAGTAGGAGTCAAAGGAAAAGGCCTTACGGTTCCCCACACCTTTGTAGGTGGCTCATGACTTATAACCCCATGTGGCCAGCCCTTTTGCTATTCCCATTACAGTGTAGGCAAATCCTAAGTACAATTACATAACTCTAAATATTATTTTATCCATGGTAAATGTCAAGAGTTCAAGACTGTGATAGAGAAAAAAAATTCACACCAACATCTAGGTAATAGCTAATGAATACAGTAAAATAATCTTCCAAGTATATTGATTATTTTATTTACTGAGAGTACATAGCAAATTTTCTTAATAGCAATTTTTTTATATCAAAACAATTTAAAGATACTTACAGTGCCTGTCAAAAGCTGTGAAGATGTGTCTTATTTCATTCCGATGGAGTTGAACTTCCTTCTTTTTTCTAACAATATTTAAAAACTCCTCAAGCAATATACCTAAAAGTTAGGAAAAACAATTTGCCAAAAGTGACCATCTTCCTCTTTAAGAAAAAAACAAAAATATAAATGAAAAGTGATACATATCATGAACAAATTTTATCTTAGTTTTGATGAACAGTGCATATTCTTAAAGATCTATAAAGTTGAAAAGACATTTTGCAAAATGCTAAATAGACCCAACCCTAGCAATCAATAGCAGAAACAATAGGCACTGTTGGAGTTCACTGAGCTTTTCCAGGGGATAAAGGAATGGTGACCTCAAAAAAGTGTAACACTCTTCCCTCTAAAAGATGTAACAGACAGGCCCGAAACTACTTATTAAACAAAGTGTCCTAATTTTTCTTTCCTTATGGTTCTTTGATTCTTTTTTTCCTAGCCAGATGTCATTATGGTGGGTTTTTTTTTTCCAACCGGGAGATTGGGACGAAGAAGTAGTTTCTCAAAAGTCAATACCAATTGCACACCAGAGATAAAGGTGGAGAGAATATTCCATAAACAATAGAGCTGGCATCGTCCCCAGCCTTGGGTACGCCCCTCCACTACTCTGCAGCCTCGGGCTCTGCTTCCTGTGATTCTCATAATAAAAAAGCCCAGCGTGATCATATGAGGTTGGATACTGTGCTTACAATGTCTATTAAAATGAATTCTAATGTGATCTTTGTAGTAGGTTTAAAGAGTAGAGTCAAGAATTTAAACATTTTAGTGAACTGAGCCCCCAAAATATAAAAAGAGCAGTTCATTTTAGTAACTCAGAATTTCCATTACTAAATGGATCACTATTTTTAAAAATAGCCCCAAGTCATACAATAACCATGTGCTAATTTTTAAGAACTTGCACTTTTGGTGAGGTAATACTGAGCTGTATACCCTTCCGAAAATAGTTGCAACGGGTTTTAAAAAATAACATAGAAAATAGTTTTCTTAAGGGAATTTCGTGCAATGTTGGTAGGAATGTAAACCGGTGCAGCCACTATGGAAAACAGAATTAACAGAACTACCATCTGATCCAGCAATTCCCCATCTGGGTATTTACGCAAAGAAAACAAAAACAGTAATCTGAAAAGATATCTGCACCCTCATGTTCACTGCAGCATTATTTATACTAGCCAAGATATGGAAGCAACCTAAGTGTCCATTGATGGATGAATGGCTAAAGAAGATGTGATACACACACACACACACACACACACACACACACACACACACACACAATGGAATACTACTCAGCCATAAAAAGGAATGAGATCTTGCAATTCTCCACAACATGGATGGACCTGGAGGGTATTATGCTAAGTGAAATAAGTCAGAGAAAAATAACATATGATACCACATATAAAAAACAAAACAAATGAATAAACAAAACAAAACTTGAGAGATACAGAGAACAGATCAGTAACTACGGGGCGGGGAGGGAGAGGGCAAAATGAGTGAAGGGGATCAAGAGGTATAAACTTCCAGTTATAAAATAAATAGGTCATGGGAATATAACATACAGCATGGTGACTATAGTCAATAGTCAATAATAATGTATTGTATATTTTAAAGTTACTAAGCGAATAGATCTTGAAAGTTCTCATCATAAGAAAAAACAATTTTGTAACATCCGTATGACCACAGGTGGTAACTAGACTTATTGTGGTGATCATTTTGCAATACACACACATAAGGAATCATTTTGTTAAACACCTTAAACTAATATAAAGTCATATATCAATCATAGTTTACTAAAAATAGTTTTATTTCCTAAGGTTTTCTTATTTGTAGTTAAAGGTTTAGAAACTTTAAAAGTCTATCTTTATGTTTAAATGCTCCTTTTATGACTCTTTAGGACCCACTGTGTGCCACACAGTATTGAGCCCTGGAAAGAGAGGGGAAAAAAGAACACACATAATTCCAGTCCCAAGGGAGTTACTGGTCTAGTGGGGGAGACAGTGATTGCACAGTTTCAACTGCACATGGACACGTAATTATAAATCACGGCACGTGGATGAGGGAGAAAACGGGAGGTTATAAAAGGATCACAGGAATCCTCCTGCAGAGTAGATTCTGATGGAGTGCTCTCTAAGTAGAGGGAATATTTAAGATAAGACCTATGACAAGAAGGTACCAACTGGCTAAAGGTGAGGAAGAAGAACATTCCAGGAAGTGGAAAAAAAGTCAAGAAGGCAGCTGCATCTACCCTGAGCAAGAGGGCACACCTCCCAGTGCTTCCCAGAGTGCCTGGCACGTGCTTGGTAAATGTGTGTTGTATGGAATTAGTGCATGCAGCCTTTCCCCCCATCACAGCTAAAGATATGCAGAGATGCAGCTCTGTTCTCATCTCGGCACTTCTGAGACCAGAGGACATATCGAGACTTCTTGCTGAGGATAAAATTTAAGTCTAGTCATGCCACGTTCCTACAGGTTCAAATCTGTTTACTTTCATGAACACCAAAAGCTCATCAATTAGATAGCATCTAGATTAGTTGAAATCCCTGAATAATATATTCACTGATCTTGGCATGCCCTACGAGACCCTTTACCATCTTGCCCCGTCTACTTTTCTGGCCTCCCGAGCAAACTTCCTGAGGCTTCCCCAAGGCAACAGACCCTTTCATACCTTTGGGCACATTGCCTGGAATGCGCTTCTCCTTTTTCTTCTACTGAAAGTTTACCTCTCCTTCCCTATGCAACCAGTGCAAGTCTTCCCTGATTTCTCCCAGTTGAGTCCCTTTTCTGTGACCCAACAGCCCTCTGTTCATAACACAAGTGATTTTCTTTTTGAATCTATTAGGTCCTATGGAAATTATCTGATCACACGTCTGCCTGAGAAGCACTGAGGGGAAGCACTGTATGTGGTTTAAAATTGTATCCCCAGTTTTGGTATAATACTAGTACACATAGTAGGCATGCAGTACATGTTTGCTGAGTCAGTAAATAAAGTAATAGGAAAATGTTTATTTCTAGTTGTCAGCAAAAAGCATTAAAATGTGTGTTTTAAATGATCTCATAACTCTGTAAAACGAATGCCAAAAGGAGGTTACTTTCTATTCACCCAGCCAGCAAAATAAACCATCATTTTAGAAACCCCAGTTTCTTAATACATATGACATAGTAAAAAAAACAAACGAAATTCAGAGAGAAAGGAAATGCATGCATAATATTTGCTCTTTACTTATCATTGCATCTGATTTAGGGAAATGATAAAAAAAAAAAACAAAACCAGGACAATTCCATGGTTCAATGTGTGATTCACACACACACACACACACACACACAGAAGTACATGAGTAGTAATATCTTCTAAATTACATATTCAGAAAACTTATTGGTATTTGGAGCTATAAAGCAGTTAGGTCTTTATTTCAGAAGCCTGTGGGATAAAAAGCAAATGTTCTTTAGTTTTTCCTAGGAGAAAATGTGGATTTCAACAGAATGTTTACAAACCACTTAAAAAGGACCACAATCTAATAACACAATAACTTCATATATGTAATCAAGTTCTTGTACACTATTTTCCCACAGGATCATATGCCTTATTTTTTAAAGTCAATATTCCAAGGGTCATCAAGTAATATTAAGCCATGAAAACATATCCCCACTGCTCCCTCCACCCCCATGCCCTTAACTTGTCTTATCTTGCATGGCAACACATATCCAAGTGCAAGCCCCTTTTCCACAAAGGGTAAAGTTTCATTCAGCTTGGCTCTCACCCTCCAGTAGTACAACCACTTTCCAAAGCCAACGCATAATGGTTTGCTAAGTTTTATACACCTTGCTGCTCTTTAAGTGGCCTAGAAATAGTTTCTACTACTAGCTCCACCTGCTGTCACAATATTCAAACCTAAAATTAGCTCTTTACAAAGACTTTCAATAATTCTATTGCCATCAGATTTAATGACAAATGCATTCCCTGTGTCCGCCCCTGGAGTGAAAGAATACGTTCAGAAAATTCTAATTTCAAATACAACATCGGGTCTCCTATGTACATTGTTCCACCAATAACAATTACCTAAATACACTTTACTGTACTTACACATTAGGATCGTAACAACATCAGGAACCACATAGACCTATGTGTTTATCTGAGTTTATTATTAATCTATCTACAAAAGGTGTTCAGAAATCACCTGGGTAGTTTTAGCTGTAGGAAAGGTGGTTCTTTATAAAACAAGTCTGACGTGCAGAGGAAATGAAAGCAGATTTATTTTGTTTGGAGCAAGGGGGCTTCCCCACCATTCCCTGTCCAGCAATGCCCCTGGAAGTGCCCCCACAGGACCTAGGATTGAGGACCGTACTTTAAAACCACTGGGACCAGTGGTTTTTACAAATCCTTCCAGACTCCGTAAGTCTATGCATTTTCCATACCATTGGAAAACACTTCCTTCCATTTTATAAACTACTCTTAGCAAAATGGACTCCTTCCATGTTCTATAACAAATATATATATTTTACCTTGCAAACCACTTAATATATATGATATAGATATGTCATGTACAGAGAAAGACTAGGAATGTTATCGTTTGTATTTTTTTGTTTTTAAGTAGTTTCCTAGGAGAATAATCATCTTTTACCACAGGGGTGGATATATTCAAAAAGTCCAATAAAACTATATAAATTTTTTGCTTGAAAGTTTCATTATATATATATTTTTTGTGGTTCACAAAACCACTGACCCTAAGCTTCAGGGCCAGTGCACACAGAGAAATCCTCTTGAAAATGAAGTTGTCTAGTTTCTGGCTATCACACTGAGCTTAAATTAGAAACTGCAATAAACCTGGGGAGAATGTAGGAGAAAACAATAAAAATGCCAAGTTATTTAGACTAAGTCTGGTCCTAGACTTAGGGGAAAAGGGAGGGTTCACATTCATTGTGCCATATAATAATTTTTCCAGGGCCCGAAAATGCCTAAAAATGAGGTTTTAAAAGGATTAAGTGGCTTTTTAAAAGGTATAATGCAAGCCTTCTCTAGTATGAGAAACAAAATTCAGATTATGACTTCTAGAGGCCATGAGGGG